AATGAATTCATGCTTCAGTGAAAACTTCTTCAAATAAAATTTAACGTCAAAGCTACCATTTATGGAGAGTAAATTCTATAGAACAAAACTTCTAAATAAAGTTGAGTTTGACTTGGTATCTAAAGTTAATTTAGAACCTACCAGTACTTTTAATTCTGCCTTTTAGTTGGGAAGAACTCTTCCTCTTATTCTTTGATTTGGGTGTTTTATCTCTTGATGCCAAGCTTGCTTGTGCTGATGCTTTTCTGGATCTAAATGTTTTGGTCACAGTAGTTGGGTCTACTGGATCAGGCATGCTACTAAAACTCTCCAGAGACTCCTCGTCAAACTCTCTTCTCCTGTTCGTATCAGACTGATTGTTATGGCTAGGAGGAGTGTTTTGAACTGAAACAGCAAAACCTGCTTTCAGGTAAGACTGATCATCCTTTTTGGCATCCTGGCCGTCATGAAGCCAAACTGCTCTGTTTTCCATTTCCTCTTCAGGTTGTCTATGATTCCTTCTGTTAGAAATACAGAAACAATACAATATATAATCTTGTCTCTTGGGTAGAAACAGTGAGTGTTACCAGGCAAGTAAACAACCTGCATTATGGATGAAGCTATCTGTCCTACTTCAGCAGAATCTACTGTAACCCAGAGAAAAATATTCACTGTGAAGTTATCTTCATGACAGTTCATTTTCAAAAGCTAAAAACATCTTTCTTGCTATCATAAAATCACTCCAGCTTTACAGTGATCAGAGAGAACATGTAAAATTGAGAGGACATTTAAATTAGCATACAGAAAAGTGTACACTTCACCTGATTAAAAACATCCAAGAAACAACAGAATTAAAGCTCATCTTAGAATTAAATTTACCTTCAAGATCAAATCTTTATAAGAATGATGAATTCCCCAACCTCCTCCAAAAACACGAAAAAAAAGAGCAGAGCGTCAACTAGAAAAAGCTGCAGTGTGACATTAAATACCTTGTTTTTTCTGCGCTGTTAGAGGAACTGCTTTCAAATGGTTTGGGAAATGCCATGTACTCAGTTTTCCCAGAAGCATTATAATCTACAGGATGTTGCTGCTGCTGCTCACCCTGTGGAGAAGCATTGTGTGCAAAATCTCCAAAACCAGAGGGAAACACTGGATTGTAGTTAATACCTACAAAGTAAATGAGAGAATCAGGTGTTACCTTATTTGCCTCACTGTGGCACTGCAGATAGTGGGAGAGAAAGACAAAAAAACAAACCCATAAGACATGGAGGGAACATTATCAAAAAACACTGACATCTTTAAAGTACTGCAGTAATAAGAATTTATTTGAAACATTTCAAATTCAAACATTTCATTTCAGGTTAAAAAAGAAAATCACTGATATTCTACGTGCCACTAAAATTCAGAGAACCAAAAAATATATATATTCCAGTGAACAGCTCTTACCAATAAAGATAAAAATGTACATGTAAGTTTACTTGCATAGTTTACCTGCATGAAGATTTTATCAAAAAAATTCCAACAGAACAAGTATTCACACAAACACATAATACTTAAACTTGACAGTTGCAAGGAACTGAATTTAAGTATTCCTTTGTGCAGGTTTTGCATTATTTAAAACACATTCTCAAGCAGAAAATGTGAGAGTTTGAAAGCTATAAACTAAGTCTACATCCATTTCCCAGTTTCCCTGAAAAAGGTGACATCCATTAATGACTAAGACAACTTCAACAAAGAAATACTATCTAATGGGTACAATGAAGCATCTAAACTTGTTTCCATTTCAAGTTCATCAGTAGATTTGGCAGAATACGGGTTTGGAATATTGTATCCAAGTCAATAGTTACTCCACATGCCTATCAAGCAAGCTAGTAATCCACTGCTACTTGTAGGTATTTCCAGGCAAAAGAGAGCTGAATTCAATTCAATTAAGTCCCACAACAACATTAAATCACTTCTTAACAGGAATTTTAGAAATTTGTATCACTCTTCCTTATTTGTAGTAACACTTACCCGGAGCAAAGGAAGAAAAATTAGTGAACCCAGGTATGTTGAAAAGGTTCACAGGTTGTGGGGGAAAACTAAAGGGACAAAACACAGTAGGAGATGGAGGTGGTGGTGCACTACTGCCTCTGTCCTTCTTGGATGACTTCTCTTGACACTGCTGCTCTTCTTGCTGGCGCATTAGATCATTCAACATCTGCTTCAACCTTGAAAATAAAGAGAAATAAGCACCCAGGGAGGAGGAAGAGAGGAAGGGAGGAAAGGTGGCCTAGAAACTTACAGTGACACAAGGAAACAACTTGATAGAAATAAGATAAACAGAAGAATATTGGTGCTATGGAAAGACAACAGCATGCTAAAAACCCAAGTCATTAACAAAGAGTTTAACTGTATTAACACGAAATGTTTGTAAACTGAAATTCTTTGACTTAACATAAGGCTTAGCCAATCAAGGTACTCACTGTGGCTATGATAAACTAAAGAAAAGTTGTATTTATAAACTGTAATTAGTCATTTGAGACTGTATTATTCCATCTGCCACACACTATCATGATGGGTTAAGGCACACAAGCTAAATTTTCAGTTGCTATATGTAAAGAACTCCTTCTTGAATCAGCTAGTCAAAAACCACAAATATACTCTACAGGGCAAGCAGGAACTCTTGGGGAATCCTGAATGATGAACAGTTTTAAGATCATATTAAAAAGTAATTTAATAATGTACTTTCTACCTTCTAAACTATAATCTACATATATACATATAAGTAGTTCAGAAGCTATTTCCAATGGCAGATGGGTAAATGTTAACTCTTACTAACAAGATGGAGAAAGGACAAATAACTTCTCCAACATCTTTCCATCATCATTACAATCAGGAATCTTCCTAGGCAGTCCAGCAAATAAAGGCACAATAGCAGTATTCAAGGAAGGCAAGTCTATACCAAAAAAAGCCACCTGAAACTATACGAACAGTCTTTAGGTAGACAGCCCAAGACTGGCCTCTTTTTAAAGGGGCAAACTGAGAAACTTAGAGAGACTTTTTGAAAGGTTTCAAAATGGTGATTGAAGATGAAAAAAAGTGGGGAGGGGAGTTCCCCAAGGTTGAATGGAATTCCAAGTTCAAAATCAGCTCATAGGTGTAGTAGAACATTTAACCATTATCTATTATTCACATAACTATGTTCTATTATTGGAATTACACAGTCTAATTTTAACAGACAAACCTTTGAACGTTATTCTGTTGCCAAGTCAGCTGAGTATAACATTGGTTTAATTGATGCATAATAAGATGTACTTGCGGAGATGCAAGATTACTGGGCATCATGCTGCACGGGCCTGTAAGCAGAGTCTGTAGTAGACAAGACAGGGTCTGTAAAAAGAAAATACACGCTGATGAACCAACTACAGGAGAAAAAAAACATCCACAGGAGTTACTGCTGGAAATATTTAGAATAAAAAACATAAACAAAAAATATTCTTTATATATCTACCTGTTGATCCTGCATCAAAGTTTGACAAATGCTGACACTAAACTCAAGTTGTTTTTTCAACTGGTTGATCTGCTCTTGCCATTGTTCCTTTTCTTCCACATAGGAGAGTTCAGACACCCACCGAAGGTTCTCCTGCCGTCGCATACTAAGGTTTTGCTGCTGTCTGCTCTTAGACGCTGGACGATAATTCCCATCTGCTGAAAGAGGACGGCAATTCTTCCACCTGCGGAAAAAAAGAACGAGCACAAAAGCTAACATTTTAAACTTTCTCTTATGGTTGTTTCAGTTAGTTAAATGCCATTTCAGTTCAAAGCCAACAACTCATTTGGCTAGTACACTCAAATGGCCTGAGCCAACCACCACGAATTTGTCAACCCTACCATATCCCAAATGCACCTATTTTCAATAAAGAGGCAAAAAAAAAAAAGAAAGAAAAAAAAAAGATAAAGATGCTTCTGGCTCTTGCCATCAGGATTGCTTGATACTGATTTTTCATATCAATTCTGTGAAAGTCATCCACACACTATAATAAAAATTAATGGACACAACCACAGAATAGAAGACCACATACTCAAAAGATATATATTGAAATGATATATATTATTTTTAAGATGGCACCTTGCTATGTCACAAAAAGGTCAATAAATAAATCAATCAGGTAAGCAAGAGTAAAATAGTTATGTTAAAATATTTATGCTAATCAGAAATTAACTCAAATGTACTTTTTCATGCTGCCAAAGCCAGCAAATACAAAGCAAAAATTTCATGGTTTTAAATTTATTGAATTACTGATTAACAACATAAAAACCCTAATCAACATCAGGGCAAAAAAATTGATAAATCATCTTCTCTTAAGCTGACTAAAACAGCACGGGAACAAAAGGAGCTGCAGTAACCTAACCAGAGAGTTCAATGGCAAGTAATACTTCATGTGGTTCAAAACAGAAGAAATAATCTAGGTTAGTTACACATGACAGGTACAGAAACTCTGACAAAGTGTCATGGGGCACAGCTCACTAAATAGCAGAAAGATCTCACTTTGCTGTAGCAGTTTTGTCTACTTAACACAGAGCTCCTTTTTCCCCTCACGCTCCTCCATATCCACCCTGACTGGCATCAAGTAAGTAGTGTAAGTAGTGCAACTAACCTGTCTTTGTTTTCTTTAGCACAAAAGGCACTTTCTGGTACATTGTTATTGGGATAAACAGAGAAAGTGTCATTAGAGCTTGATTCTTCATCTTCTTCCTCTTCTTCTGCATGGCCAAGCCCATCGGAGAGATAACCATCTTCATCTCCATCCTCCTCATCAAGGGCACATTGGGTAGAACCTCCCCAGGTTGCCACTGTCCTAGTTATATTGAAAACAGGTGTTTAAAAGGGTGAGCCAGTTGTTTTTATTTTTCAAAGTAAAATATTAAGTCTATCTTCAGTTAATCAGGTGGCACTAAATCCAGCAGGTTAACACATCCTCTCACCAATGCAAAATCAAATCTACATTTCTAATAGCAGGAGGGTTCATTCACAGTGAGCCTTGTCTTTATTACCCTATGGTTGTTATAAATGCTGTACAGCACATTACAAGCTGAGAAACTAATTTATTGTTCACTTACATATCATCTCTTTCAGCACCCCTAGGAAAACGCTGTAAGACTTGCATTTTACAAAACACAGAAGCACCCACATGCACAGGGACTCATGTTCTTACTTCTCTGTCCTGCTCTGCTGCGGAGTGCGCTGAGCTTCTGAGCCCTCACTTTTGACAGATGCAGCAACAGTGGATATTGTTTCTGCCAGCTCCCTCCTCCTCTGATGTTCGGCCATCAGCGCTTCCAGCTGCTTTCGCCTCTGGCGCAGCTCTTCCCTTAAAATTTCATGCCTCCTCATCTCAGACCACAACTATGCAGAAGAACGGAGTGTATTAGAGAATTAACCAAGAAGTGGGACTAAGACACAGTTAAGTTTTCAGCATTTCATACTACATAGATAAATTTTTGGTCAGGCATTGGTATCATACTGTAACTGAAGACATATTGCAGCAAAACATAATATACATGCAGTATTTTGGTATTTATTCCAATTAATTTAAAAAAATGAGAAAGCAACTATAGAACAGAAGTTTTATATGAAAAGCAATTCATGTTTCATGCAACATTTAACAAACACCTTGTAATTAGTTAGCTCTTAGTAGCATGATAAAATTATCCTCTGGAGAAATCTGGAAATATTGCAAATTATTGATAAACACGTTTAGGATGCAAGAAAAAATAATCAAGCATTTGTGCAATTGGC